AACCATGACTTGCAAGATAGGAATAGCCGGTTTTCCTTAGATGCATTATTCTGCTTACTTTTATTTCTTATTCTTTCCCTACTTCCCTTCTTCCTCAAATCCACATAGATTTATTCCTGGCGCAAATAAAATTCACCTAATTATTCCAAATTAAAAACAGGGGGGAGGAAGATCAAGTAAGGGAGATGAAAACATCTAAAGAGAGGCTGCAAGTGGTAAATATCCTTCATATTTAATTAATAACAACTGAGATCCTTAAAGACCTGGAATTGATTTCTATGGGTTTCATAGCATGCTCTGTGGGTTTCAAAGGAAGCAAAGAACCTATGTCAGGTTTTGAATTTGAGTCTTAAAAATAATTCATTAATAAAAGGGCTACCCAGGAGCAATTCATCGTTTGACAGCTACAGGAAAGGAGAAGTATGTCCAAGCTGCATGCAGTCCAACAAATACACACCTTCTCTCTTCCCCCCACAGATCTGTATCAATCCAAAACCCCAAGTTTCAGAGTTTAGCAAAACCTGTGCATTTCCTTTACTAATGAAAAATAACATTTGGCAAAATGTCAGAATCTTGCTTTTTGCTCTGCTTTGAGGATTGCAACAATATAGGTATTTTCTTGAAGTGTCAACTTAATTAATTTCACAGTTCTTTTCACACTTTCCCTTGTTGCCAGCAGCCCTTGTACTTGAGCAAAACAAACATTGAGCTCCTAGAATGGAAAAGCTGCTATTTTTTGTTTCTACTCTTAAAAAGCAGCAAAGAAAGAAACTATCATTTCAAATGCTTAAAAAAAAGAAAAGAAGCAATGCAGTGAACGTCTACATGCCACTTGTAGAGCCACCTGAGCCACCCTGATCACACCCTGGTTCCTCAGGCTCAGACTTCCACAATTCTGACTGATTTCAGCCTCTTGCCTCTGAGCCCAAGGAGAAGCAAATCACATTTACACACAAAGCACAAATAATCTCATACAACTCTTAGTGGCCTGTACAGAATCCCATAAAGAAGGATTCCTTATTTTGAAAGCTGTAAGAAAGATAATGAGGGAAAGATAATGAGGGCTAGAACTCAGTCTCTTTTAATTAAACCAAAAAGTTCTTTTTGATGAGTGGCTGTTCCACTCATATCATTATGGAGAAACACTGTACTTTGATGTTGAAATGAGAGAGACTACATTGTCATGCAAGAGATGGAGACCATGTATATTCATCATGTGCTCTATAGCGACAAAATCCTTGACTGCAGAAATTAGTCTACCAAAACAACCATTCCAGGTAAAACTTCTGATTCAGAGATGGGTTAACCCACAGAAACCTGCACTTTCCAGATGAAGAACAGTTGCACATAATGACTCAGGCACTCCAGGTAAATGCATTTTGCCCCTGTGGAAATACCTTACTGCTGGACAAACTAAGGCATCTTCCCCTTAGTCTTCAGGCAACCAACTAAATGTAGTCTATTCATTTAAGCACAGCAGGACCAACATGACGTGCCTGATGTTTATGCCTTTTCCTGACAGCTTATACATCTCCTGTGATTCAAAGATTCAAAGCTGCTGAGAACAAGAAGGTAGCTGCATCTTGCGCTTTGAGCTAATGAGCGTTCAAAAGAGTGTTCAAGTCTCTCTGGCTCATTCTTTGCTTATCTTCCATTTCGGCAAAATTAAGGCTACGTATTCTCTTCTTTGCAAACCCTGCCTACCAGCTCCGTTGGCCACAGCATTCCAGTACACAGAAAACAATAGTACTTTCCTTGTCAACAGCATTCTTGTCCTTAATACCAGATAAAAGATGCACACCCCAGATGAAATAAAGCTTCCCTCCCCCTCTACTTTTGCTCAAATTTGCTGTCTTTGAATGTATGCCATCATCAATAAGATTCTGGCTGATATAAACGGACCTTCTCTGATAGAAGCTAAAGGCCACGTCACTGAAGGGCACCAGTACTACCATTACCAACACAGTCTGCTCAGCTGAGCTTTAACATCACCAGTATCACACAAGGGCACAGGGCAGCACAGCATGTGCTCAGAGTTCAGACAGAAAAGTGTTTTTCAAAACCTGTAGGTGGTAACTTCTTCACTTGTCAAACTGTTCAATAACTGAGGTTTCCTATCAAAACATAAAACATAAAACATATACACACATACACACAACTAGAAGCTCATTTTCATTGCCAAGATCATTTTGTTAAAAAAAAAAAAATAATCTTGAGATACCCAGCAAATAACTGAATTTTTGCTGTTGCTTTCTCCTGCTAGAGAAAACAAGGTAGACTCAAGGATACAAGTGCATGTTACAGATGTGTGTCATTTTTGTTGGGAATTCCAGTATGACTTTTTCCCAGAGTTCTGAAAGTCTTACATTGGTGATGTTTTGGCCTTTTCTTTTTCCCCCCTCCCAAATCAAACACTGCATTTTTCCTTCAGCTTTGTATGTTTAACTTCAAGAACCTATCTTTTTTTTTTTTTTTTAAGTTAAAAGCTTGTAGGTTTTTCAATTTTAAATGCTTTGCTCCAGATCTGATTTAATGACATGCTAAACTCTTAGACTAAACCTTATAAATGCAAACATTAACAAAAAACCCCAAACCTCAGCATCGGTTCTAGGTTGTAACACAGCTACCTATATACACACCCTTATCAAATTCTTGGCAAACAAGTCTCCATTTAAAGTGAAAGTGAGAGACTGAATTCACCTCACCTGAGACATCTCAATTATTTAATTAAAAATCATCTTTGGGCATGCTAATCCTGACTTGGGTTTAATTTTCAATCTCAGAAGAAAGTGATTACTAACTCAAGAAAATGAACATTCTGCACTAGTATGGTACCTCAAGTGTATTTATAAACAGTAAGGTATTACTAAAAAATAGCGAGCTTCCCCAGCTCAGACTAAGTATGCAATTCCAGCTGATTACAAACCTCTGCTGTCATCACAAACTCAGCAAGAGAGATTGCTGAACCAGTACCAAGAACTGTTCTGGTCCTCAAACCAGGAGATAAAAGCTGCTGTTCCTTTCCTCCAGGTCCACACTTTCATCCTGAGATTTAACCTTTGTCTTTGACTGGTGGAAGGATAACTACTGAGATCTGGTCCAGGGTTAGACAGGGGAACACAGAAGAGTAGCTCAGCATATTAATGCAGCAGGAATAACTAGGCAAAGAATCCAGGCTATATTCCTTTCTTTTCTCTGTGCAAGTGTGGCAGTAACTCCTCAGATGCCTCCTAGATGCTTTATAGGCACTGACCACTGGTGTTATTTGATGGAGGAGCACTGCAATTAAAAATGGGATTTTAATTATTAAAAAAATAAACCCCAGAACTTTTAAACACCATTTTTTCCCATCTTTACTGTTAAAAATTTTATCTTTATGCAAAATTTAGTTACTATTAAAAATTGCAATAGCCATGCCAATTCTGGTCAGCTAGCCTCAGAAAGGGAAGAGCTTCTTACTTCTTCTTGGTATTTCTTCAAGGTATAACTAAGGCTATGAAAGATGTTAGTGTCATAGGGAATAAAAACTGAGCGTACTTGAAGGATACAGGGTCAAATCCTCTTCTCTGAAAATAAAACCCTTTACAGCCAAAACGTCTGGACTTATTTTTTTAGGTTTTTTTTTTTTTTTTTTTTTACAGTCCATTGCTCTAAGGTGGTCTGAGGGATAAAACAATCCATTTTACAACATTTTCTGGCATTATTTTTCACTCACATACATTAACATGATCTGGTTTTTGATCACAGCCCCAGAAATTTACAGTTCTGAACAGTACTTCTAATGCCTTGACTCAGAAAGGATCTTCTTGTCAGCGTTTTCCTTCCTTTGCAAGGATGAGGTAAGAAGAAAGCCTGTTTCCCTGAAATTGTTTTCGTTTCTTGTGATTAAATGCAACGCCACACAGCAAGAAAGCTGAATAGAAAAGAGTATCTGGCCACACACCATTATACAGCTCCTTTGGGAAGTAAGCCATGACCAAGTGACCCCTGGTCTGAGGTGACCCCTTGACTTTGACTCCCCTTCTCCCGAGGTCAGAGGACTCTAAAGCCCATCAAGTCACTCCTGAACAAACCCTGCTCATTATCACACCTCCAACACAGGGAGCAGCCTGCAAACATGTTACAAGTGGAATTATCTCCAGCACAGTAAGCTGAACTCATTAGTTATTTATTGCCTGAGCACGTATGTGGACAATTAACACATGATTTGAGGTTTTCTAGGCATGAGGCTGCTCTGATAGACGCCCCTAGTCCTGATTAAATCTCTGCCTCGGATCTCACAGCAGGGTATCATCTGAGAGAACTCCAGGCTCTGCCAAGACCAGGTTGCTCTCTCACAGCCTGGAACCATCACAAATGTTTGTCTGGTTATCTGAGGAGGATTTTTTCCCCTTTTTTTTCCCCGAATCTTTGACTAAATGTTGCCTTGCAACCAAAACACCTGCAAGAACATGGACATGACTGCAGGGGAACAAAATGGGTATTACACAACGCATTAAAATAGCATTATGAACGGAGACATGCACAAGCTTCGGAAAGGAAGATGAATACATCTGCATGCTAGAAAACTGAATTCAGTGCATGAAGTGTATTCGGACTGCTCTACCCTCCACGCCATGGAAAAAAAACAGGAGCTGTTGTAACACACCCACCCTATGAGCTCAGCCTCCTACATCTCAGTGCTTCACCCGAAGGAGTCCCAGACCAAGGAGAAGCCGCTGTCGGCCATCACTGTGCCAGCACCGCTTCCCAGGGAGGGAAGAGCCTCCAGGTCTCCCCTCAGCGATGGCGGCTTACCTCCGAGAAGCCGCCCAGCTCAGCAGAAGCCTCATCACCACTGCCCCTTCCGAGGTGCGTGTGCGGGACTCTGCCTCCAGCCCCCCATAGAGACCCAGTTCCCTTCGGGGCGGCATTACCTTCCCGCCATTTGCCCTCTGTTCCAGAAGCTTCCGCAGCGGGGCCGTGCCTCCGCCCTCTGAGGCGGCAGCGCTGTGGTGCCACGGCCTGGTGTCCCTCACAGCGACACGGGCACCGGGCGGCTGCACCTCCATCAGGTAATTGTAGAACAGTTTGGGTTGGAGGGGACCTTAAAGCTCATCCAGCTCCAACCCCTGCCACGGGCAGGGACACCTTCCACTGAGCAGCTTGCTCCAAGCCCCTGTGTCCAACCTGGCCTTGAACACTGCCAGGGATGGGGCAGCCACAGCCTCTCTGGGCACCCTGTGCCAGCGCCTCAGCACCCTCACAGGGAAAAGCTTCTGCCTTAGATCTGATGTTAATCTCTCCTCTGTCAGTTTAAAGCCATTCCCCCGGGGCAGCACACGGGTGGAGCGGCTGCACAGCACCCTGCTGCCCGCACAGACGGCTCCTCCATCATGAGGAGAAAGCCCTTAGGTTTCTGAGTGCTTGTGGTCCGCGGGATGGGATTCAGTCCCCCCTTACCCTTAAGGTACACCGGTTTCTCAGCCTCGCCGCCGCTCGAGGGCAGGCAGATGGCAGCAGCGGGGTTTAACGAGGTATTGAATTTGCAGATGGCGGCAGCGGTGGGTTGCTGGTTCCTGCCTGCGGCGCCCAGATTCAGCCGCTCGTTGTAAACGAGATCGTCACATTTAATGTGTTGCGCTTGGCAAGGTCACGGCTCCCTGGAGCCTGCAAGCTGTATTGTCATCCCCTCCATCCCTTGATTCACTAAATGCCTCTTAGCTGAGCGGCCTCTGGCAACAAATTAAAACCAATGGGATAAAGTGGACCATAATCTCTGATTTGCAGAGCGGGCAATTCTGCACAGGCATTTATTTAAGAGTTTTCTGCTCCCATAAAATATCCGGGTCCTTACTGATTCTCTCTCCATGCTGCTTGTTTTTCTTACTGTTGGTTCTTTGCCTAAAGATATAGTGTCCCAGGGGCCACCTGAGACCCCCCATTTCTGTGGCTCACCACGTGCTGATCCCGCAGACTCTCCCTGAGTGCCAGGACCAGCATGATGAGCACTTGGGATAGGGGGCATTAGGCTCCTGGGGAGATTTAATTCAGAACCCCCTCAGGTTTTTTTGGACACGTCCAGAAGTTGTAGTGGAAAGTAGCTTCATTATTTATCTGAAAACTGCTAGGTCTCACATACGTGACTTTCTTTTTCCTGCTGCATTGGAGTGGTTCAGCTGGCAGGCATCTTCGCAGCACATCTTTGCAGCACAGCTGTTCTCACCTTCCCTGCATCCCGGTCTTGCTCATAGATGGGCTAAAGAGACTACCTTGGGTACCACCAAGAGACAGAGGGACTTAAGGCAATTACCATTACCTAGATCCTTTGGTGGATATGGATTTGATAAAGGCATGCTTGACACAGCCTGACTTCTGGGGTCCAGTCCAACACCTCCATGTCACCCCAAACTCCCATCACAAAATATTACCTCTCAGCATCTTAATAAATACACTTTTCTTTCCTTGGACTGATCCCTTATTACCTTTCAGGGGCTAGCTTGCAGAGGACAGGTTCATTTGCTAATACATGAATCATTATTGCTTTGAGCCTTTGAGCTAGCATTTTTATGAGTACGTTTCAAAATGTATTTGATTGCTGTTAGAAATCATTCTGGCTCACGCTTGACAAGCAGGCCAACCTAAGCCAATGTGCTCTGCCTGGCACCGTGGAAGGATGTTGGGAGAATTTAATTACTAACTGCAAGTTACTGTGCATATGCTGAATTTTAAATGTACTATTTCTTTTTTTTTCTTGCCTCACAGATAAAAATACTCAATTGTTTAGCTTATTAAGATTTCTATCTAACAGTTCTGATAAAATTGTTTCAGATTGTACACCCTATGGAGAACGGCATGCTGCCTTTTCCCACCCTTGAGCTGCTGCAGACTATAAATGCCATCGAAGCCAAAGTGAGTCCTCTTTGCCCTTTGTAAGCCTGGGCTGCACATTAAGAGATTAGCATTACTTCATGTAAGGAATGTTTTAGAAAAACATTTGGTCTATGTGATAAGATACAACAAACATCACTAGAACAGAACTTCATAGTTCTGGCGGCAAGAGATTCACCCTTGGGGAAGGGACGAAGGGAGCATAGAAGTATAGACTGTAAAAGAACATATAGGTAAAATCTACTCTTCTCTTTTCTCTACTAGTATGGCGATGCTCTTCTACTGTTTGGCTTCTCTACACTTTGATGACATGAAAGCTCCATTATATATGTCACACTAATTTATACCCAGTAAATCAGAACCCTATATTGAATCTGATTTCATCAGCACATTAACAAGAAGAGGAGGAGGATGATTTTTCAGCATGTCTCTTATTATAACATACAGTACAGCATAAAGCCCATGGAAAATAAAACCCTTGCATGTTTCTGCTTGCACCCAATGTTTGTTACAACAAATTAACTAAAATGCTTCGAGTCCTGCTATGTGTATATTACCGTGAGCATTTTCCCCTGTGGAATATATAGTATGTATCACACTCCCCACTGTCTACCAGCTCACTTTCATCTCCTGGAAAGCTCAGCAGTGCAGTCTGGTTGCCCTTGTTAGGAACCTGGCACCATAACTTTTATTAGAACCCAAATGCCAGACCCACAAAGCAGCAGCATACCAGCTAGGCCAAGCTTTGGGTGCAGTAGAAACAGGGAAAATATGAAGAGAAAGTAGGAGAATTTGAGAAAGTATGTTTCTCCAGGTAGTAAAATAATATATAGCTTTACAGTTCAGCTCCTTTCCCTTGTCTTTCCATAAAACGGAAATCCTGGTGCATAAAGCCTCCTTCAGGACAAACTTTTTCCACACTCCTGCCTTAGATACATCTTCTTACCTGTAAGAGCTGCATGCTTACAGAGATGGAAAAAAATCATTAAATAGACCTGGAAACCTCCCTTGTTTTGGTGGATTTATATCTCTCCTTTGTGTAAATTCCAGCGCTAACCTGCTTTCTTTGTGAAGTTTTTATCTTGAGGAATTCAGACTGGAGGGCTGAATATAAAGAGTGTTACTTGAATTTACTGTAGAACAGAGAAACTGCTGTGGATGGTGAAAAGCAAGACTGAAAATCTGGAGTAGTGATGCCAGAAATAGAATCATAAAAACTAATTTAGTATCAGCCTCCAAAGAAGCATCTGCTGACTTCCACCTCAAGATAAAACTGAAGCTGCTCCTGAAAAACCCACTCTCCCTAAATGTCAGTGCTCTTTAGAGGAGGATTTGATAACATGCAGTTTGAAGAAAATACCACTGAAGTAGAAATGACCTGAAATGAATTTACTGTGCAATTGTGGAGTAGCTGTTCTGGAGGCCAGCAAGTTTTCATTATGCTTAATTGTGAGACTGGGAGGCACTTTCTCACCCACCATGTTGCTTTCAGTTACATCTTATTTCCCCATAGCTTACCCATGTCTGCTCAGCATTAAATCCCACAAGTCCACTGAAGATCATGAGCCACTCTTCCCTGCATGTATGAATAAAGGAGGAAGTATGTCTGTGATGGCTTCATGATACCCCTGTTTTGTTACAGACCTCAGTGGTGAATGGCTTGAGATGTTGAACTCAAATTTTGGAGAGAAAGCTGGAAAGGAAGAGGAAAAAGAAGAGAGCCCTTTGCTCTTGCCACCTCTTTTCCCTCCAGACAGAGCCATGAGTGATGAGCAGCTTGACATTCTCCTTAGTTAAGTAAGTGTTTAAAATGTACTAGGATAAATTCAGTCTTTATCCTGCCTGTACTCAGTTCTCCCTGTTTGTGAGGTAGAAGATGCCTTACAAAGATACTGCAGGAGCAGGTTCATTAGTGTTTGTGACACATGCAGCTATATAACAGTGAGTCACATTGGTACTAGGAAATTCTGTGGGTACTGTGATACGTTTCCGATTACTTTAGTGTCTCTGTATTTTAATTCTCACTATGAAATGCTTCAAGGAACTGGAGTATACATTTTAAAACAAAAATTACAAGCAACAGTTTATTTCTTACGCTTGCCACTTCAACAGTTCTTTGATTCTCATGTCTACAAAACCAGAACAAATACTAAAATCTATATTTTATCTTTTTCCTCAGTGCTGTGATTTGCAAAGTTTGATACCTTCTGGTCCTTGGGAGTGCATTAGACCTCCACATTTTCATGAAGTCCTCAGGCCTGGCACAAATTAACTAATTAGGGGCTTTGTTTTTCTAGTCAGCCAGCATTTTTCTGCTTGTCTGGGATGAATCCTCTGCTGGTGTGCAAAAGAACAATTCTGTGAGACATGAAACTGTGCACTTACCTCAGACTAAATTTTTGGTCACATTTATCAATGCATTTTAAAAAGAAAAGAAAGAAAAAAATCCACCCTAAAAGTCTGTTGGTTTGCCTTGTGCTCAGGCATAGAAGTTAAGAAAGTACTTCAAAAAACTTAGAATTGGAAGGTTTTCAATAGGTTTAATAGTTACAGAGTCCCCTTCTTCTAAATCCAGTGATGTATAGAACAGCCTTGTGTCATTCTGACCTGATGGATAGCAAAAAGGGTCTTTCTCTAACTGTTTCAGAGTTAAGAAAGGAGCTTTGGCTCCAGCATCAAAACATAAAGCAGGCTCCTAAGAGATGAAAAGTGTCCTGACTTTTTTCTGATAAGGCTGAACACAACACAAATCCCTCACTGCCCCTCAGGAGCCTACTGAAGCTTTGAACTTTCATTTCTGTTCAGGAAAAGGCGGCACAATGCAGTATCCTTGGCCTCACTTTTATGATAGCTTGAGACTGGGAGGGAAACATATGGTTTGAGCATGCTAGGATATATTCCAAGTACTTAAACAAAAGCTCCAATAGAATAATTCAAAATGTATCTTTCCAAAGAACAAACTTTTTCAGAATACCTGTACCACTGTAATGGGCCTATGCTCAAGAGTGACTTAAAATGACCTATACCATGGAAAAAGAGAAAACCTGGATCCAAAGTTATTTAGGTTCAGATTCACAAGAATATTTAACTTCTTACTGAGCTGGACCTCAGCTGATCTGCTTGACTTGCATTTGCATATTTGATGTAGATTCTCTTCTTGTAAATCTCAGCCTTTTGGTCAGCAAGATGAGTGTTTGTCCAGCCTAGACAACCCCTTGCAGATAGTGGCTGGCCAGATCAGAACCTCATTTACGCAGAATCATCCTGAACAGGCCAAACATCTTTCTAATTGCTTTTTAGTATAAAACCATTACACTTGCAATGAAAATAGCAGTTTCTTCAGTTTAAACAAATAATTTTGCTGTTTAATTTCCTCCTTCTTGCTGATAGGTGGCACCATTTTCTGCACAGAATGCCAGCCAACACTAGAAGTACATGGAAAATTTCAATAGGTTTTGGCAAACGTGTCGCTGCTAACACACCACAGCAGAAACCAGTGTGTGCTTTGGAGCTCTGTCAACAGATTAGACAGATTTCACTGTAATAAACTGCAAAAGCAGAAAAATCTTTCCTGAATCCTGATTAAAATCTCTTTAGTAAAGCTCAGTTATTCACATGAAGAACCCAGGGCCATTACTAATTAGAAGGCTCCTTGTTCCAATGCAGGTCATCTGTGTTAGTAACACACCTGAAAATAAGTTCTACAATTACATTAGGGTAGTAAGATAACAGAAGAACATGAGAACAGCCTAGAAGGAAAGTTGGATAATATGGTAAAGCAGTAAAGGTGAGCTTATGATAAGCAGAACACAGTCCAGAAAAATATTGTGCTAAACTTGCATGAAAAGAGCTGTTTTGTTTCCTGGTGCTTAGGACTGTAGGTGGTTTTAGGCACTGAAATAAGTTCTTGGGTTTGTTCACAGGTTAGGAGCGTTCTATAAATTCTAGCATAAAGGGGGCTGTTGGTTTGCTTTTATCTCTCAACATTACAGACAGGAAAACAGACCTTAATCCTTATTTTCTTGTTTTAAATTCCAAACTAACCAGTCAGGATACAAAGGCAAGCCTGACTAATACAGGCACTCAGCTACATTACAGTAACAACAGATAGCCAAAATAAAATGATCAAGCAGTGCATAGGCTGACAAATCATTATCACTGCTACATCATGCTCAGGCACATATTCATGATTCACAGTTGATTAATGAAGATTTATTGATCAAAGGAGAGGGGTGGCTACGTTCATGATACACATTATTTAGTGAAAACATCTGAGACTTAAGGGAACTTCTGCAGTACAGATGTTGGATGCAGAACTGCTGACAAAATATTTATATGAACCTAATTTTGGTAGATACTATTCACAGAACACTCATTCTAGCAAGCATATGGTACCTTTAAAGGTGACATCTGTCCTTCCAAGAAATGCTGGCTTGATTTTAATAGGACATTAATTCCAAAGAAAACTGCGGCTGGCAACAGAGCAGCGTTTTTACAGAGAATCCTTAGTGTGGATTTAAAAGAAATGCCTCACCCTAAAAAGACCCTGGAGATAGAGCTAAATTTGCCAAGGCTGTGTTAGGCTGTTCCTTCTGAGGCTGGCTGCACTGTCACCCACCTGAAGACTACAGCCGACCCACCCTACTTCTTCTGCTTAAATTAGGGAGTCAGTCAAACAGCTACTCTTCCACTTGTGTAGTCACTGCCCTTGTAGAAGGCAGGAAGGAGAAAGCTTGCACACTCAGGTCTCACCCAGTTTGTTCCACTGAACCACAGGTGCGCAAGAGAGTCAGGAACATGAAAGCGTGTCCCAGTCCAGTCATGCAACTGTAGTACATGGGTGGGGCCCTATGGTCTCTTCCTAGCAGAAGGGGCAGGGCAAGGAGATACTTCTAGTGGAATGAAAGAAGGTGTCACATACTTTCTCAGATGCTGTGTGCTCTTTGATCGCAACCTACAAACTTTGTGCCTATATACTAACAGGAGAGAAACAGTCTGGTTGAGATCCAAAGTCAATGTCAAAACCAGTAATGTGTGTTTTATGCTGCTGAGCAGTTCAGGAACCCAATCAGTTCTCACTGTGCCATCTCCCAATCCAATACATGACACGGAGCTTCTGCTTGTGCTTTTAGGAAGTTGTTTGCTAGCAGTACAAAAACCCCCATGACAATCACTTCCGAAATACGTTTTAAAAGAGGGTGACAGAGGTCAAAATGAGAAGGGTGTTAAAAAAAGAGTTGGCAGCAGTTATTTACAGTTTCTCACCATAAAAGAATTACAGGGCATCCTATGGAGTGAAAAGCAGAGACTGTGACTTGCAGCAACAGTGCTATTTATTACAACAGGATGTTGTGACATCCAGAAGTATAAGTGGATTAGATACATACAGGCCCACAGTAGTTATTAAGTCTAATGGTTGGATTGCTGTGTATAGCCTCTAGCTTGGGAAGTCCTTACCTTTTGAAACTAGGGAGAGATGTATGGTGAAAGGATCATTCTAGATTTCCCGTGTCTCCTATTTCATTCTTTTAACCATCAGTTATTGACTGTTTTCAGTGATGAGGTGTCGGTCTGTGTGGAGTTCTGGTAGAAGTATGACAGTATAGGAGGGAGTTCATAAGCACTTCATATCCCCTTTCTATTGCCTTTGGGAAGAGAAAAGTGCCTTTGGAAGCAGAAAAGAAAATCAAGTCAATAGCAATATCATCAGTGGCAACAGACCAGCTCTGTAGCTGGTAAAAATTACTGTAGTGCCCACCATTTCCTTGGCTGCAGCAGGGCAATGTCATTTCATATCACCTGCGAGTCCAGCCTCTCTGCTGATACAGTTCAGGTCACAGGCTGTGGGATATCCTTCAGTCCTTCGTATTAACTAGACAATTTGGGAAGTGTACACTGGTCTGTTTCTTTGGTTCTGCTCTTTAGAACAGGAACAATACGTCAATGACAGATCAGTTGTGCTCTTACACATTTGAGTTGCTAAAACATAGCTCCAATGCAAAGCTTCTAGGAAGAGAATGCTTTCATTGGCAGCTTCTCAGCTGTGGTTCCATGGTGTATTTTTCCATTCTGGGAATGGTGGTTCCAAGGTCAGAATTTTTTCATTGGGATTGTTTTAATCTATGTTTGAATGTTTCTTATGAAGTACTTACTAGTCCTGGTGGGACCATACAAGAACAGAGCTTGTACTGCTGTGTGGATTGCTACCTGCAAGCATTACACAAGTACATCCTTGTGCTGGGATAGCAAGACAAGCCTCCCCTCAGGTCTAACAGCCACAATGCGGTTGTAGCGTGTACTGTCACCAGTCTGGCTTTGGATGTGTGTGCTCAGGGGCCAAGTCTCTAATGAGTGTGTGGTGATGCATCTCTGACGTGCACAGAGCTCCTGCGCTTTAGAACAGCTTGCAATCTGCTGCAGTGTGCTGTGCTCATCTCAAAAATGTGATGACTACCTTTCAGAACAGATTAAGTGCAATTTAAAATGCATGTGTACTTTGTTTTTCTACTTTTCCTTTGTGTGACAATTTTGAACCTTAATACAAGGTGTTCAAATGTACTATGATAAAAAATGCAGCTCATGTCAGCAGTAAAATGCATAGTAATTTATTATCTTTTCAAGTGTAAATACAAACCAGTTTGATGATGTGCCACATAATGAAAAATTCTTTGCAGTCACAACTTGCAATCTAGTTGCTGCAGTATTGTTTTAAATTAAACTTTTTACAAAGAGTTTGAAAACCACACAATCCTTGTTGATGGCCAATAGAAAACTGTAACGCTGTGCCAAGTAATAAGTGCTTCTACAATGCCTTTGAGGAATGCTCTTTATTCAGACATTCTCTTCCTCAAAATCAAGTTGCCAGATGCTGCTTCACCAGCGTATTTATGAGTAAGTATTCTTGGCCAAAGATAACATTGCTTTTGCTTAGGGCAACCCACGAACTCAGTACCTTTAGTTACCTATCATTAATGCTTTTGTAATACAAGTCAGTGCATTTTGTGAAACCATTCTAAAATCCATTACAATGTACTGAAGACATCACTGTTTATCATATTTTTCTCATACCACTGATGTCTGGGGCATTGGGAGGACACAGCTAATGCCTTCATATGCATAAGCATCCCAGGGCTTTAGAGGGACAAGGTATTTTGAACAGTTACCAGAATAAACCAGGATGATTGGAAAGAGTGAACCTGAAGCTAATTCATTACATTTTTAGAAAATGTAAATATTGATGCATTTTGTGCCAAATTCACTGAGAACTACTAACTACATAATTTCAGTATTTGCTCCTTGAGCTCCCTCAGTTCACTAGGCAAGCAGAGTCCATCTCCAGCAGAATGCACTCAGTGCATTAGCTTTTCAAGAATATCCTGGTTACCCCACAGAAAGATGTAAATGCATGATGCACACACTTCAGTAGATCTAATGTATTTTATATGCATTCAGTAGTTAACAGCTCTCACCTTAACTCCACTAACGCTACATATACACACACAAAACAAATTGTATCTGCAAAATGTGATTAAGAGGTACCGGCTACAGTGGCCTCTTGAACAGGTATTTCTGGTGAAGCAATAAAAAAAAATGTGTTAAGTTGGGGATTCTTTCCAGAGAGAACATAATAGTAAGTTTACTTTGATGCCACCCAGATCTAGAGACATGAGAAGATCTGGTTTCTATCTAGAACCAGAAGTTGGTTCTTCTGTTTGCAATACCATCTTTTATCTCTGGTGTGATTTCACCATCAGCTTTGATTAGTAGTAAGCAGCAGGAAGTCACAATAGCAGTAGTCAAAAATGTCGTATCATTGCTAGAAACATTTTCAGTTAAGCAGATTCTGACAGTTGTTCTTCCTCCCAAAGCCTTTCATGAAAAAAAAACCCCCACCAAAAACCCACAAAGGTATTTGTGTCCTAACTGAACAGCAAGACTCCTGAACTCCAGCTTCTATTAAAGTTCTTCTTACAACCCAACACATTTGGTCCCGAAACAAGCCATAATGTGCTTTAGTATGGCTGTTAATGAAGCATTTCAAATGAATACCGGATACTCAAGGAATTACATGCTGTGTAATTGATCTAAAGAACAGATTAGGACTGGTGCTATTTCATTAAATCTTATTAGCTCTGGCTTAAGTACTTAAAATTGCAGCTGTCCTGTGTCAGCTAGATTACACCCCTTGTCACACGGCAAGTGAGGTTTTCATCTATTAGACCATGGGTTTTAAAATGGAGTAGGCTGATGAAAAGAAATACAAACAAAGGACTGCAAAGGTCTGATCTTCAGACACATCAAGCCCCATATTATTTATTTAAATGAAATAAGATCCATACTTTCAGAACATGTATGAAGACCTGTTGCTTGTTTCCATATTTTGTCTTAGATCTCTTCTGTGGCACCTGAAGAGTTCTCAAGCCTCATGGATGAGCACAATACAGATCTTCACATGGCATCATGGAATCAGCCAGGCTGGACAAGACCTTCAACATCATCAAATAATCACAGAGTACTGCATCAGGTTCTTCAACAAGACCTTTTTTAGCTTTTTTTTCTCTTAGCTGCTTCCCATGGGAGGTTATCATGCTTCAGGGACCAGTGAGCCAGTAAAGCTAGAGGACAATTTTGGCGGAGTAACAAGTGGCTTTAATAAAGCCAGGAATAAATTCAGATTGGAAAACAGTTTATGGCTATCAAAGCAGAAAGGGCTTCCCCCTCCCACCCCCAAATGACTCAAACTAATTTTTAGGGTTCTTTACATAATTAGAAAAGTATTATTTTTACTGGTTTGCCAGTAAAACTATACTATCTAGTATCCTATCTAGTTCACCAGCAGCATATTAGACTTGGTATTCTTTCTCACCTTCTATTATTCCCTCCTAGGACCTAGTATTTTAACTCCACAATCTCCTAAATCAAATAAAATAGCAACTGAAGATTTTTAGCTGAATTTTCTCTCCAAGACATACATTAAATACTTATCATAATATCTGGACTCCTGCACTGTGGGAAACAAGACTGTTAATTTGAAAACATTAAGCAGGACTTCATATTATAGTTAAGGGGTGAAATACTGACAAAAACCCCATAGGCTTTGGTTAAAAGAGATAATACTCAAGGCTTCTTTTATTATTATTCCTTTTATGAGAGAATATTTAAGACCCTCTCACATGCAGAGTCACCATGTTTACACCACAGCTAAAGCAGTGGTTCACACAGATAAAGACTAAAGTAAAAATAATCCAACAGATGTGGTTTTTTAAATTTAAGAAATTATTTCAGTAAATCTTTAAAAAATGACAATCAGAAAATACCAACTCCACATTTAAGAGTTATTTGAATTCTTGTATATTATTCTGTAAGTCTCAGAGCCATTTATCTATCAGGAAACCCTGCTTTCCTTCTTATATGGACAGTCTGGTTCTCACTAGCCCTCTTCAGCCTGTGGCCTCTGCACTTCAGGCTTTGCCAGGACTGACCACTTTGTCAGACAGTGTGGCCACATTCAAATGCTTTGCACTGGGCACTGAAAGCAGTAGCAAAATTTGCAGTAGCAACATTCCAAGAAAAAGAATTCACGTTTGTCATTGTGGTATCATAGTGAAGGCTTACCACACTTGCCTGAAATCTTTACCAGCAAACACACATCTATCTGGTCTTCTCAGCTTCAAATCCCCTAAACCCACAAATGCAACATTTCTTTGAGGATAGTAAATTTAAAACCTGGTATTCCTCCAAATATTCAGCCTGCCTTTTTCATTTACCCAGGATTTGAAAGCTCGCTGCCCCACTGTGGAGGATCAAGTGTATATTGGCAATTCAAGACAAGAAAAAAAAGGGGGGAGGCATGTGGCATATTTGCTTCTGGTCAGTACAGTAACTTCATACTCTGTTATGCATTTAGTAGTCACACTGATAGATAATTACTTTCAGCTTTCAGCCATCTTCATATAAAATAGTTACCATTTACTCACTGGAAAGACTACAAATGATGTGAATGACCAGCGATGTTACTCCCCAGAAAGCTCAAACTGGTCTTTCCCTTCTTTTGCCTGCTCATCTCTCTCACCAGAATGTTTCAAGGCATAGAACTCCACCAGACTAAACAAAAACAGAATACAGCTTTCATACAGTTTTAAAAGGGAGGAACTATCTGGAGAGAAGATGAAAAGTCTCTTAGCAATAGAACTCCTGTACAAAGCGTTCAACACCTGATCCAGTGATGGTACCTATCCTTCTAAATGGTCTAATGGGAGGTTAAATACAGGGCAACTGTTCCCAATGTGTATTTAGCCTGAAGCTTCCCACCTGTTGACGATCGACAGCAAGGCTTGAATACTGAGCATGTCCATGATTTTTTACTGTATTGCTTGATTTATTAAAGATGCTACCTCTCCCTCCAGGTCTCACTACACCATTCAAGAGGTCATGTTCAACTAACCATAAACACAGAATTTAAAGCATTTTTATATTTAGAATTTCACCCAGAATGATTCTTTTGTATATATTCATGCATAACCTGATCATGTGACTATTTAAAGATTAGCCGTGAGCCATAAATAAACTCATGGAGAATTGGCTTTGTATCACATCTTACACGCTCCATTTCAAAAATAAACTTGGGGCAAAATAGTGATATGGTTTCTAGATACCAACCCAGAGTTGACAAGAACTGATGGATTCTGCATGTTAAAAGTAAGTATTTTATTATCTATCATGCCCTTGAAAAATTGGCTTTGTTTTCATTCTGTTTTGTTCAGCATGCCTTGAAATAGAAATGGCAGAAGTTGTTCAGGAAACAGATCACCAAGATTCACAGTACCACAGTATCTGCAATTACCCGTTTCCCTGGCTCAGTAAAACAAAACTTCTTTAAAAAATTACTATAAAATATTAAACAGTGAAGTTAACAGATACCATTTCTCTCTCTCTTTCAGTACGACTGAATCTTCTCTAAATGAAAAGCTGTCTGCCATGGACCTGCATCCAAAGCCTGCTGACATTGACAGTGGTCAGCAACTCTGACAGCCTGCAGGGTAAGCCCTTGTCATTGCTCTGACTACCTGTGCACAGATACTGCATGAACCACTGTACACATCATTAAATTCAGGTTCACAAAGATGCTGTCAATGAGTCAACTACACTAAAATATTTGTATTTCAGAGTAACAGTATTTATATATGCTCCTAGTTCTTGCTCTAATTTGCCCTCTTATCACTAGGTTTTTATTTGTTTTTCAAATACTTGAAAGACTTTGTTGGTTTGTTCAGAAAATCAGACAGTGCTCACAAAGCATATTTGCTCACATTTGACATTTTCACAGTATGGGTAACGAAACGGAGGATTCAAGTTGTTACATTCTACAGATGGCACCTAAGTCTGTCACCTTCTGGAAAGAAGTCATGAGTATCCAGCTTCCAAGGCAGCTTCTGGAACAACACAACAGTGTACCTGCATCCACAGCACTGCGGGTGGGACCTTACACTTATGTACTTGGGGACTGTGGGCCAAACTGAGGCCTCTAGAAACTCATCCCTCTACTATGACATTTACTGCCTCAGTTAAATATGCAAGGGCTATATTGTGATGCCTTTACAGCCAAGAGATGTGAAATGTGGCAGTATAATGGAGCATGTGGCTATTTTACCTATTCAACATTTACCTGTGTCTAACTAGAAGAGGTCTCTAAAATGCTGCTTTTTAGCAGCTTGAAGGTTGAGAACCACCTGTAAACATTTGCAGAACAGTCTCTTTCTAGAAACAGAGACTCCTAAACAATCAACCTTGAAATTTATCATATATTATATTTCCAGTGTTATTTACAGATCTTGTTGAGTACAATGAACCAGACATGCTGAAAAGGTAGGATTTGACCAGTCCCCTTTTATACGAAGTACAATAAAAAAGGCACGTGATTATTCACCATAGGAGTTGTGCACCAGTCAATAACTTAAAGCTAAAAAGCTACCCATCAGAGAACTCTCTTTATGAGGCAGTATTGGGATCTCTCAACTCATCACAGAAACATCTGCCTGCCAATTTCTCCAGGAGAGCTTAGGGAACCCACTTTTCTGCTGTGTTCTGATCTTCACAAGATTTCCAAATCAACAGAAAACTCTTGTTAAGCTTCCCAGGTCATCTACCAGAGCAAGGAAGAGTCAAATAGGGCATGTATGCATCTGCTTTTCTTTGTCTTCTTTCTTTTTCACTTTGAATGCCCAGCTGTGGAGGACTTGAGAGCCAAGTCAAGTCCAGTTCAGACTAGTCTGCTTTAAGACAAATACCTTGCAAGATATGGGACACTGAGCAATGGACAACGGCAAGAGAGGCAACTTCTGAGCCCCAGCAGTCAGTGTCGGCCGTGTTTTATCCAGTTTCTAATCATCCATTTTTGCCCCGAGCACCTTTGTACAACTAATCTGAGCCCAAAATTTGCATCCTTTGACACTTCCACTTCTAGGCAACGGCCAGTGTCTCTGCTGATGATTGGACCGTTCTGAGAAAAAAGAAGAAGGAAAGATGGATTAGAAAAGGTGAAAAGATGAGAAGAAAAATAGTGCTACATCTGTAAATCCCCAGAAAACACTATAAAATGCCTGTGAAGTTCTGTATACAAAGTGAGAAAAGTCCCTAGGACGAACTAGAAATTCCTAGGAGAAGTCAGATAATCTAAAGAAACTGCCAACACAGATGCTTGATAATTCCAGATTTGGGAATGTCTAGAAAATTCCACAGAAAGCACTAGGAAGTCTCGAAAAAGCACTAGAGAATCCCTACAGACCCCAAGATACAGGAAATCCCAGAAACTGTAAGAATGCCTTTGAAAGTTCTGAAACTTAGTTTAAAGCCTTATGTCTAAAAATTCCTGGAAAAAAAAGGTTAGAAAAATCCTATAAAAGTTCTAGAAGTAAAAATACCTGGGGACACAAAAAATTTTACACATATGTTCTTTACACTACAAACATTGAGAATATTCCAAGACAGGATAACTAAAATTTCCTAGTAATAATACAAGAAACTTCCTGGATAGCACATGACCTATAGAAAAGATATTTGACTATTTCTAGAAGGCATATGGGGGAGTTCCTCTAAAGGCCTCTTTGTTTTCCATTAGATACTTTCTAGAGCAGCATTCCTCTCCAGCTTATTTCTGCAACCTGTCCCTGAACTCTTCTTTACCTGTGTGAAATCCCAGAACCTCTGTGCTGGCCTCAGGACATCTTCACACTTCTTCAGTGTTGGTGTCCTCCCCTTCCCGTCATCAACAAGGCATTTTGAGTCAGGCAGGAAGGCTGTGGAGCCCAGTGGCCCCAGTTGCAGAACACCCTCGGAGCTGTAGCGGACAAGCTAGGGAAGAAAGGAAAGGAAGGGAAGTCTTTAACTGCAGCCCAGGGGACCCCAGTGAGGGGCACAAAGTCAGCCTGCAGCTGACTCCTCTGCCAGGTTCTGCCCCAAGCACTGGTGAGGAGGAGTCCTTTGTCCTGCTGTGTGTTGGGACCTTCCTAGTCTGGCATACCGTGTTCAAGGGCAAAGCCTGGGAAACCTGTTTTACCAAGACAGGTCTCTTGAAGGGCACAATATTCCCTTGTTTCACACCTCTGTTCCCCAACCCCTATTTCACTGCAAAAGGGCACTCAAGAAAGTGAAGTAATCAGTATGTAAATCATACCCACTCAGCAGGAGTTGGTTTAACAAGACACAATGTCAATTTGTCAGTGCACTTTGTTCTTAAGAGCTCTGTTAGGAGCTATTGATAGCAACAAGTCTAATTAGTTCTTGTAAATAAAAAAATCCAACCATGCAACCAGGATTCAAAAATATAAGAGGAAAAAAAGAAATCATGAGGAAAACAGCAGCAAATTTGCTAACATGTGCTTCAGGCCCACATCATAAAGAATCTCACTCTCGTATTTCAGTTTTGTTTGAGGATTAAATATTGTGCAGTTTAGTGAGGTTGTAAATGCTGCTGGCTGTACTTAGAAGCTTCAGGTGAGGGCCATTTATTTTAGAGGGGTTTCTTTAATAAACTTAGGCAAGCACAATCAGTGTTAATTTTTACAGACGTCTATATTGTTTTTTAACCTTTCTTTTGTTTTAAGTGATGATTTCACTTGCCTCAAGTCCTTCACAGTAAAATGGTGCTCAAGGAAAACAAAAATCCATATCTAGAAGGTAACATAATGGTCTCTTACAATCTCTGTGTGAGAGAGAAAAGAAATCTGCCTCTTCTAGATCTGAAGTTTGTCTCAACCTGTATTCTAATAAAGCCTCAAAACCTTACAGGTGGTTTTAGGATGCTCATTTAGAGGGGAAAGGTTCACTCTGTGTCACACTGCACTGAAATAACTATGATAGCAATGGATTCCTCATTTACAAGTTGCAAGAATTTATAAGTAATCCCCTTAATTACTATTACTTCTTATGTAGCTAAGGGAGAGCCTACTGAGGGAGACGCCAAAGCACATTAAAATGAAAATGCACCATGTTAATTTGGCAGCAGGCCAGCATGTCAAATCAGACACACCTACTTCTCACTTCTTTTCTGTTTAAATGAGGAATCATTACATCAGCATATTTTGCCCTCCTTACCCTAGAAGTAGTCAAGTGCAGCACCCAGGTGCCAAAGACTGCAAAATGAAGTCAGGTACATGGCTTCTATGCTGTGAAGCTGGATACTGCAGGGTTAAGATCTGAGCCACTGAAGAAATGCAGTTATCACCCAGGAAATTCACTGCCTGTCTGGTCTTACTGCTGTTATATGGCTGAAATTACTTAACAAAAAAGGGAAGGAAGGTCAGAAGTGCTGCCATTTATTGGATGTGACTGTCCAGTGCATGAGATATCATTAAGAGTCAATCAAACCCCCTCAAATTGGAGTCTATCTTTCTACTACCATCCTTATTAACCTCAGAGGAATCATGTTGCGAATAATCGTATCTTGCTAGTAAAAGAGCATAGTCTGCTTACTCCCAGACCATATGCCCTCTGACAGAGTATGTGCTCATTTTCCCACCTGCCACCTCTGTTTGGAGCAACCATGTGAAGTGCAGGGTTAGAAGAGAGCCTACATCAGAGAAAGCAAAGTGATAACCACATGAAGATGCTCCTTGGTGTGAGCATTATCATTCTTGAGGCATTGTCTGTACACACTAAATCAACACACATTTTTACTTATGGAGTACAGGGGACATAAGTAGAAAAAGCTCAAGCAAGTATTTCACACTTCTCATATCTAATGAGTACTCAGCAGAGTTCACATGAACGGAGCAGCTGAAACTTCCAACTGACCAGGTATGCTTTCATCTTGCAGTCTTTATTATATCTCTGCAGGTCCCAAAATACCTTCTAGCAACCTGGTTGGCTTTGCCTTATCCAGATAATCAGCACCACTGTTCATAACAGGTTGCCTGCTCCATAGTGTAGGATCAATTTTCCCTGTGGTTTCAGATGAGCAGTATTTTCTGTACTGATATTAAAATGGTATAAATAGTCTTGTCTTTAGAATCTCAGTGGCTAGAATTGCATGTGCTCTGCAGCACAGTTGCCATGTACAGCCATTGTTGATCAGAAGCCTGTCAAAGCAGAAAGTACCATCTCTGCATTTGCCTTAGCAGTGGAAGATACACCAACTCTATTACAAACTTTCTTCAATATTGGAAGTGGCAGTTGTGTGACAGAACTGAGACAGTTTTACACATCAAATGAGGACGGACCTTCACTCAGATTTTCTCTTATCTGAGAAGAGCTGAAGGATCCACATAAAAGACACTGAAGCTAAGTGCTCTATTAAATACTCCAAGATCTAATCCTGATGCTATCTGCTGTACCCATGATAACATAAGATAGTTCTCCCTTCAACATTCAGAAATCTGAACAGAAAGGAAAAGATGTCAAAGGTTGTTTATCAAAGCCACCATATCTGTTTCAGAAATAGCGATGCTGCCTGTGGCAGGTGATCCTCCAGGAGCAACGTGATAAGTAAATGGCAGCTTTTAACTGAAGGATTTGACTTTACAAAATCCATTCCTGCTAATTTCCAGTCAAGTCAAAAAAAAAAAGCAAAAAATAACAGCAGGTAATAGTAGGAAACAGTTACACGTGTGGGTTTGGTAGCTTTCTGCACTAAATTTAACTCTTCTCTCACATTCTTGTTCTCCAAGCAAAAGGAAATCTTTACTGTTTGGCCCTGCAGGTGAAGATAAGCTGTAAGCTGACACAGAAACTGAAACAGTGAGCTACACAAGCATCAGAAATACCTTAAGTCTCTAGAATACTTGTGATCTGTCTTGTGGTGACAAGTTACCAAACTTCCAGGGTTGTTACAGAATCTCACCTACCGCTTCCTGCAAGTTAAAATTCCTTTTCATCCACCCCACTCTAAGCAATCAGACCAACTCCCTAGTGTGCCACTATGGAAAACCATAG